TCGACATCCAAGTTCCTACTTACTGCTGGGTAAACAGAGACGTGTGTGCGTGTGTGGAGTGTGAAGGAAACTTGCTCAACGTTTGGCCCCGCCCGGGAATCGAACCCAGGTCCTCTGAGATAAAGTTCTAGGGCTGAATGGCTTTCTGGTTGTTAGTCGATCGGTGGATCGCTTTCTGGGGTTAATAACTCTCCCCAAAATATTTTGATGACTTAATCCACGCCTGTTTTGGGGGCCCTGCTGTGCGCAATTGGCTGCTGTGTTTTGCCCACAAAATACCCAGTCACTACACTTTACAGTGTATCCTGCGAAGCGCTTTGAGACGTCTCGAAGACGTGATAAGGCGCCGGGTCAAATGCGAGTATTATTATTATTATTATTATTATTATTATTATTATTATTATTATTAAAGCATCGGATGAACACTTAGACGTGAAACACTGGGAAAAATTGCACTCTGGCTCCAGAGTTTCCTCCGTGAATGCAGTGAACGGAACTGAACGGCCGTTTCATTACACACAGTCTTCGGTTTGAATCTGTTTTCCTGTAGGTTCCGTTACGACCGAACCCAGTGAGCGCGGAACTTAATGCACAGCGAAACACGAGTGGGGTTGGAGTTATACCGCAGCAAATATAAAAAGCAAAATACAGCTGGCGCACACCTCCTTTGGGGAATTCTAGCTGTAGGTGTAATAGCGAAAATAACACATTTCACTGTTGCCCTTTATGACTGTGTGATACTAAATGTATGATCGTGGGCTGTTATCGGGGCACATTAAAAGGGCAGAAGAGTGAGGCTACTTAAGGTTACTGGGATGTCCCTCATTTGCCACGTCGAGGATTACTTGAGTTTTTTGGAGGTGAAACGTACTCCCCATCACGTCCGCTGGTGGAGCCCCCGTAGCTCAGTGGTTAGAGCATTCGCCTCGCAAGCGAGAGGACCTGGGTTTGATTCCCGGTCAGGGCAAAACTTCGGGCAAGTTTACTTATTACGCGCACACACATGTGCACACGCACGCACACACGCGCGCGCACGCACACACGCGCGCCTCTGTTTACCAGCGGTAAGTAGGAACCCGGTTGTTAGTCGATTGTTAGTCACTTTTCCCATGGTAATAATCCCTTAAAAAAATAATCTGGTCACTCGATCTACGACTGTTTGTGGGACGCTCCTGTGCGCAGTTGGCCGCCGCGTTTCAACCGTAACATACAAAGTCACCACGCGACGTGCTGAAGGGCGACATCGAATGCGAGGGATTATTGCAGCAGACGTTAATTTGCGATCCGAGTGCGGTGCGACACTTTTTTTAACGCGTCTCGGTTTCTCCCAGTCTGAGGGGAGAAAGAGTCCAAAAGCTTTATGACAAGGAGGTTCAGATACGAGTCCCTATCGGATCCCAACGGCAAACAGCTTGGGAACAGAATTTACAAAATGGTCTTTTTCGAGACGAGTGCCATCCTGTTGGATTTACACCTGTTCGTAACGTTTAGCTCTTTACTGTCACTTCCCCGGGTGACAGACTGACAACAACAATACCCGGAGTCACTGAAGCCAAAGACTGAAATCGCTGTGACTCTGCCGCGAAGGAACATACTGGCGGAGTCTGTCTGCAGCACTGGATATTTTTGGTCAGCCGGGTATCTGACACTTGCGGAAATCCGTCACCTCACCTGAGCTGAGAATTCCCTGCGTCCCAACCACACGCGGGAATCCCAGAGATAGATTGTTGGAATGGAATGGGCACTATCTCTCTCTCTCTCTCACTCTCCCTCGAGGGACGTCCCCTGTTTACCCAATTCCGGAGAGTATTAGAGGGGGGGAGCCCAGAGTGTGCGTTGGGGTGACTGCTGGAGTCTAACCAACTAAAGCCATATAGCTTGACCATTGATATGACAAAACAACTTGCATTTACATAGCGCCCCCCCCCACCCCACACACACACACACAGTGTAGCGTCCCAGAGCACTCGATAGCTTTCCTGTTGCTTGTCCAGCTAGGACCACCCCACCCACCTGCTGGAGCCGAGTGGATGGGGTTTGCACCAAAGCTCATCCGTCCGCAGTCACTAGGGGAGAAGGATTCAATCAAGTGCGAGTAACAGAATTTTGAAGAAGGAAATAACATCCAGTTTATTCCACTCTTGGGAAGGATTTTCTTGCTCCTGAGTCAGGCAATGCGTAAAGCAAGTGGGAGAGAAGTGAACATGTGGAGCAGCCTTATCTCCAAACAGTCTCGCTGCCTTACATAAGTCAAGTCGTTAGTGGGGAAAGATTGCTTCGTGCCTAAACGCAAAGGCTAAAAATACGGTCCTAAATTTGCCTTTAGCGCCGAGGAGCACAAGCCTGTTTTTTAAGCAATTAAAATCCACCCAAAAAAAGCTTCCAAGTGTGATTTAATAATAATCCTTGGGTTTGATTACAACGCCTTACCCTGTCGTTGGGATGCCTCAAAAGCTTCGCAGCTGGAGGGTGGAGTGACTGTGTATTTTGTGGGCAAAACGCAGCAGCCAATCGCGCGCGCAGCAGCGTCCCGCAAGCAGTCGAGGATTGAGTGGCCGCATTTTTTTTTGAAGGACTTGTTACCCCCGGAAAGTAATTCGCCAATCGACTAACAACCAGGTTCCTACTTACTGCTCGGTTACCAGAGGCGTGTGCGTGCGGTGTAAGGAAACTCGCCCAAGGTTTCGCCCGGCCTGGGAATCAAACCCAGGTCCTCTCGCTTGCGAGGCGAATGCTCTAACCACCGAGCTACAGGACGCCACAGTTTAGCATCATACCAGCAGATGATACAGTAATGTTCTCTCATTCCGTTGCTGTGTATAACATCAATTGAAAGTTAGCTTCAGATTAGAAGTCAACACAACTCCCTTTGAACCTTTGCTGTTTATTCCTGTGTAAATCTGGACTAACATTGGAGACGATATTAAGCCAGTAATATTTTATGAGCGGGTGCCAGCTCTCAGTTTAATATAGACGTCTGTAATGAATCCAAACACATAGAAAGTTGGCTGAGGCATTTCACCCACAAAATGCGGTTAATTCACTTTACAGTGAAGCACTTTGAAACGTCTCGAAGACGTGATGAGGCGCTGGATCAAATGCAAGGATATGGCTTTATTTCCCATAGTTGTTTTTATCCATCACCTGGGGATGTGCATATGAGGATCATTTAAATGAACCAATGCAACAAATTATAAGTGCGTCCAACTCAGTAATCACACAGAGCTCTGTCATGGCAACCGCATTCGTGAGTGTGACTGTATGCTACAATATCACAGGAGTTCAATCATCTGATCTCCTACTTTCCCTGATCATCTCAGCACAAACAAATCTGCAGGACTTTTAGTTTGATTAATATCTATTTTTAAAAAGAAAAAATCTGTCAAGATCCCAGCTGGCAAAGGCACTGCCCAACCAGACAAACAGCGATACCAATACAATGAGATATAATAATATTAATACTTGCGTTTGACACAGTGCCTCATCATGCCTTCGAGACGTCTCAAAGCGCTTCACGGATTATACTGTGAAGTGTCGTGACTGTGTTTATGGGAAAACTATGTGGGTTTAGATGGTTAGACTCCCGCAGTTACCCCAACCCACACTCTGGGCTCCCCAACAAGCCTTGGCTCTTGCCATCCTGCGCCTAATACTCTCCGGAATTAGGTAAGCGAGGGGGCGTCTCTCCAGGGAGAGAGCAAGAGAGAGAGATATAGAGAGAGAGAGAGCACATTCCATTCCAATAATTCCGGGTGTAGGTGGGATGTGGGGAATTCTCAGTTGGGTTTGGAGACTCTTAAGCAACGGCGATGGGTTTCCGCGTGTGTCAGACACCCGGCCGGGCAAAGAATAAAGCAAGACAGACTAAACCATATCTGGGCACCGGACGTGAGACTAGGAACAAAATGAGGGCTCAGCAGAATATTTTTTTCCCACAGAGAGTTGTTGGACTGTGGAATGTGCTGCGAAGTAACGTGAGGTTTCAAGAGAAAAGTAGACAAGCACATGAAAGATAAAGACATTCAGCCACAAAATACAGTCCTAGACTCTACAGCATATTCTGTGAAGCGCTTTGAGACGTCTCGAAGACATGATTTGGCACTATATCAAATGCAAGGATTATTATTATTATTATTATTAGACTTGATGTCGATGGGTCAGGCAATGAGAATGCTTTGAGAGTTAGCAAAGACCCAACGAGCCAAATGACCATAAATTTCTATGATTCTATGTGTCTCTTGAGGCTGAGACCATTACGCCGCGTGAAAGTCAATTGGATAAATATTTTAAGAGGATTTATATAAAAGGATCAGCAGTGGGGAATTGGGATTAGAGCAGTCAGCTCCAGTGGAGTAGTTAGCGCTGTCATTGACTTGATGGAGTTTCTTTCAGCCTCTCTAAAACAATAATAATCCTAACATTTGATACAGCGCCTGATCACACCTTTGAGATGTCTCAAAGCGCTTCACAGGATATATGGTAAAGTGTCGTGACCGTGCGTTTTGTGGGTGAAAATAACCCATATATACTACAGTAATGTAAAACCCCATTTAAAATTCCATCATCTGTCAGTCGAGAAGTGCTGTGTTAAAGAAAAGTTTTACTTGTTGAGTGAATGATGTCCCCAGCCTTGCCTGCACCACCATCGGCAGGTGGGCCTTCAGCCTCTCTGCCCCCACCCTCTGTCCCTCCGCCTCGCCCCCTCTTTGGCCTCCTTCAAGACCCGCCTCAAGACTCTCCTCTTCAACCGCGCCTTCGATCACCCTTCTACCCCCATCCTCCCTGCCCTCCACCCTCTCCCTGATCCCAACCCCAAACCGGGTCCAAATCCCTGACTGTCCAGCGCAACGGGACGTCCTCCCGACGTGAAAGGCGCCGTGTAAACATCATGTGCTGTTGCTGTTGCCGTTGTGCAGTGCAGGAGTTGAAAATGAACAGGATTCTTGTTGTTGGTTGGAGATGGATTTACTCTGATGTGGTTTTGATGTCTCCCGGTGTAGGTGGCTGGAACATGAACTTATTTGTGAACAGGTACAGGCTCGGGAGTCCAGTGGCTTCAACGCAGTTTCTGATGGAAAGATTTCAAAACGGCAGATCCTCGCGGAAGGTTTAATCAAGAGGAGCTTTGGCCCTTGGACGACCAGAGCAAGCAACTCTTGTTGTTCCTCGTTCGTCAATGATATCGGGAGATCGAGCTTCTTCTCGATTGCCCTGACAGGTTCAACCAAACGGTCGACCTCTCCTGATAAGCAATGTCAGCCTCACAAACTGTAACTGAACTTTGCGGAGAGTTTGAAAGTATTGTATGAGCAGCAACACTCTCACACCACCAGATCCAATGAAAAATACAAGTACTTTTTCCTTCTCTATTTGTGTCTTTTAATGCCAAGGACATGGGGAGTAATAACAGAACGCAGTTCTACTGTGCAATGCGAGGCGTCCTCTCTGAATTTCACTGAGGAGCCCGTAGTGTAGAGGTTAGAGCACTCGCCTCGCAAGCCAGAGGACCCAGGTTCGATTCCCGGGCGGTTCAGGTCAGGGCAAAACCTTAGGCAAGTTTCCTCACTCCACACATACACACACACACACACGCGCGCGCACACATACACGTTTCGCCCGCAAAAACACACAGTTACTCCACTTCACAGTACCACTGTGCGAAGCGCTTTGAGACGTCTCGACGACGTGATAAGCCGCTCCAACAGATGCAGGGATAATTATTATATAAGGATGCCGAGGCTGCATTGCTGCAGTTCTGAGCAAAAACAGGGTCGTAATCCTTTCATTTAGCACTAATTAGCAGTTGCTGAGCCAAATTGTTTGGAACTGTCCAGAGGAAAGGGAAATGTTACACTCACGTCTTTGGGAGATGAATTTAATTTAATAAATTGATTTAATAAATAGATGGCAGATATACCTGAGCTGCCCCAGACACGGTCGGTGCTTACGTTGGCTGGGAGGTTTCCTATCGTTTTTTTGATTTCACGTTGAATGTGATTCCTTTGCAGGATTGATGTCCGAGAGCTGGAGAGATGCGGTGTGGATTCACTCAGTGGCTACCAGGTTCGGACGTTATACATGTGAGGAGGGGCTGGATAAATCATAAGGAGCAGAGCAGAGGAATCTGATGATGATGATGATGATAATAATAATCCTTGCATTTGATATAGTGCCTTACCACGTCTTCGAGACGTCTCAAAGCGCCTTTGCTTGTCTCGCGTCCCCTCCGTTCCACCATCGGCGGTCGGGCTTTCAGCTACTACAGCCCGAAGCTTTGGAACTCTCTCCCCCCAATCCCTCCTCCTCCCTCCTCCCTCCCTCCCGTTCGGCCACAGTTAAGCGCTTCGAGACTCTGTCCCGCACGAAGGGTGCTGGTGTAAACATTGCGTGACCTGTTGAGTTAGCAGTTAGCACCCCTTTATGGTGGGGCCCTTTGCAGTTTGTGGCTGTTGTGTTGTGACGGATCAGTTCACGGCACATTTTGGCGTTCGAGTGTTTCCACTGGACTGCGGACTCCAGTCTGAGCCCCTCGTGTCTCGATCAGGCACCGAATCCTAATTAGAACGAGAGTCACGGGAGGGAAAACCCCGTTAATGACAGTGCCCTCACCCCCCCATAGGAGACAGAGAGAGAGAGAGAGAGTGTGTGACAGAGAGAGAGGGAGCGAGGAGGGAAGATGGATTGTGAGCTCGCTGAATATCATTTCTCAGAAATAAAGGAAATTAAAGCGGTCATTCGAGGGGTTTTAAATACAGAGTGTGACCTTTCGGTTATTAGTAATGTGGGAGTTTTGATATTGTGCTTAAGACATGATACTGTGTTTGAACACCAGCAGCAAGCTAACCCGTTCTGTGCTGTACTCTACAGGGAGATGGGACTTCTCGCAGTATATTGCACAGAGTATGACACACTAAACAGGCTTTATAGTGTAGTGCTGTATAGCACAGAGACACAGCTATACCGCACTCCCTCTAGTGTTGTAGTCCCAACGACCACTTGCACAAAGGAGGCGGCAACTGAGGCCGCGGAGACAACGGAGCCCGAATTCAATGCTCCATTTCCTCCACGGCCTCCGAGTCCTGGAGCTCAGGCGTTAGAGCCCTCTTGCCTCGCAAGCGAGAGAGGACCCGGGTTCGATTCCCGGGCAGGTCAGGTCAGGGGGAAACCTTAAGCAAGTTTCCTTACTCCACACACACCCACACACACACTGTTTACCAGCAGTCAGTAGGAACACAGTTGTTAGTCGATTGGCGGATCGATTTTCTGGGGGTAATAATCCCTTTATAAATAAATAGTAATAATAATTTGGTCACTCTATCCCCGAACTGTTTGTGCCGAATCGGCTGCCGCGTTTCGCCCACAAAACGTACAGCCAATCCACTTCACGGTGTATTCTGTGAAGCGCTTTGAGACCGTCTCGACGACGTGATAAGGCGCTGCATCACGTGCGAGGACGATTATTATTAAAGAAAGGAAACGCGGAACAAATAAAATAACTTTTCTGGAAATTCTGAAACCGATTGCCAAACCGATTAAGAATTTTCCTCTATTAACCAAAAGCAAGGGAAATGAGTAAGGCCGAACACTGAAGCAATAATATCCTCTTAAAGAAAGACAACAACCTTAACAGTCGATGGAGCTGCGTTCAGTGTTTCGTAACAGCCGAAGGCAAGTGATGTTGTGCAACAGACAGATTGTAACAACAACAACAACTTGCATTTAGACAACGCCCCTCACTCAGGGTAGAGTCCCAATGGCGGAGCACGTCGCTGAAACTGGGAAGAGGGGAGGCGACCGTAGGCACTGTTGAAGAGGAAGGTCTTTAGGCGCGACCTGAAGATGGGGAAGGAAGGGGGCGAGGCGGAGGGATAGAGGGAGAGTGTTCCAAAGTTCGGCCACCGATGGTGGAACAGAGGGCAGAAGGCACAAGCAGGAGGCCGGAGCTCGTCGAGCGGGCAGTGGGTTGGTGGGGTGAGCAGGTGGGAGAGGTCGGGAGGTGTCAGGGCGTGAAGGGATTTGAAGACGAGTGTGTGAGGATCTTGAAGTCGATGCGTTAGGTGATAGGGAGCCAGCGGAGCAGTGGAAACCTCAGCAAACTGCTTCTCATTTATTTATCTGGTTCAAACCTAGACTGTCGGTTCCCTTCAATCATTGCCTTTAGGGTTTGTGACTTAGAGTTCCACGGTGGAATCCCGTTGGTGAAATGTCTCTTCGTGTTAAGCTCCAAGAGGCGAGCGATCATGCGGAAACTCAACGGATTCTTACATTGGTGATCTCGTATGATGGCTTCATGATGGGCCAGAGACAGATCGACTTAGCTGTGGCTTTTCCAAGCCATTTCATACCGTCTTGCTCCACTGCCTCTCGCAGATAGCTTCACCTTAGCACATGGCTCGAGAGAGGGGGACTGAAACTAAACGAAAATAATAATAATAATAATCCCGGCGTTTGACACAGCGCCTTATCGCATCTTCGAGTGACTATTGGAAAAGAGAGGAGAGTTTCTCCCGGTAACTTGGCCAACACATCTCAAATAAACCGCTTACAAAATTAAGTCAATACACCTCACAGCAAACACTCCAAAACACTTTGAGACATCGTTTTGTGAAAGGCGCAATGTGGATGGTTCGCATCTCAAGCGAGAGGACCTGGGTTTGATACCCAGCCTGTGCGAAACCTTGGGCAAGTTTCCTTACCCCGCACACATGTCTCTGTTTACCGCCAGTCAGTAGGAACCCGGTTATTAGTCGATCGGTGGATCGCTTTCCGGGGGTAATAATCCCTTCAAAAAAAAATGTAGTCACTTACTCCACGACTGTTTGTGGGACACTGCTGTGTGCAATTGGCTGCAAAAAAACAGTCACTGAGCTCGACGATAATTAGCGTAAAGTGGGTTCAACTCGATAAATCACCATAAAATGTGAGGGCTTTTTTTTTTACTTATTCCCCGCATGTGAATCAATCCACCTTAACTTCACTGAGCAACGCTCTTTCTGGCTTAAGCCTGTTGACTTTGATGAGGCTGATGTGAAATACACAGCACTTGCAAGCCATCGGCGGTGAAAGCCGCTCACATTGGCATTCCTTTATCTCGCTCGCTCGCTCGCTCGCTCGCTATCTTGTAGCTCAGTGCAGTCACATTCTGATCGGGATTCCTGGCTGGAATCCTAACCGTGTGCACGCAGATTATTCCCCTCCTCCGGATGTTTTTCAAGCCCATTTGCAACTCCCACTATCTCTCCTAATCCCACTAGTTTATCCCTTTCCCAACATCCCACCCTTTTGCGACTGCATTTCATGTGTAAATAAACAAGTCGAATACTTTGCTCTTGGCAGAGTTCCCGGGTTATTTGGAGTCCCGTGGCGAAGCGGTTAGAGCCCTCACCTCGCGAGCGAGAGGACCCGGGTTCGATTCCCAGACAGGGCGAAACCTTAGGTCAGTTCCTTTACCCCACGCGCCTCTGTTTACCGAGCAGTAAGTAGGAACCCGGTGGTTAGTCGATTGGAGGATCGCTTCCTGGGGGAAATAAGCCCTTAAAAAAAATGTGCTTACTCAACCCACGACTGTTTGTGGGGACGCTGCTGTGCGGAATTGGCTGCCGCGTTTCGCGCGCAAAATATACAATGAATTCACTTTACAGTACATTCTGTGAAGCGCTTTGAGACGTCGCAACGATGTGAGAAAGCGCTGTATCAAATGCAAGGATTATTATTATTATTATTATTATTATTATTATAGTGATGGTATTTTCCTGGTAATATATCATGGTAAGGTTTTCATAACCACGACACAATTAATGTTGTATTTTAATATATTTTATTTCCTTTAACTTAGTATAAATTTTGAGGGGAGAGAGAGCAGGGAATGGGGTTAGAGTGGAGAGCTCCAGTAGGGGAGCGAGCCCCAGCCCAGATACGATGGAGGGGTGGAGAGAGAGAGAGAGAGGGGGGGGAGAGGGAGAGAGAAAGAGCAGAGTAATGGGATAGGGGTAGAGAGCTCCAGAGAGAGAGAGAGAGCGAGAGAGAGAACCAGCACAGACACAATAAGCCGAATGGCCTCTGTCTATGCTGTAAACTCTCTGTAATTCTATCAATCCAAACGAGTTTGACTGGGGCCACGTGTGAATCATGAGTTGCTGTTTCTACTGATGCAGTACATCCCCAACAGACGCTCTGCTAGATTTCATCGCAAGAAAAGAGAAGCGAGAAACACAAAGCTAAATATAGTCCTATTTCCGTCAGGTTCACCATGCAAAGCGCCAGCCACCAGTAACAGACTGAGCAAAACTCGCTGCCAACCATTTTATTTAACTCGATTCCGTCCTCACTTCGGTCCTCGTTAAGAATCCTCCCTCTCACGTATCGACAGACCCGGTTAAGGAACCCCCCCCCGACATTCGTGACCCACCTTAATACTTTCGAAGTATTAAATGATTAATGATTTATTCCTTTTTTTTTCATTGTTATTTTTCGGCCTCGATTGCTTAGGCAAATGTCCTCGCTCCGCGCATCTCTGTTTACCAGCAGTTAGCAGGAACCCGGTTGTACGGAGAGAGAGCGCGTGTGTGAGAGAGAGAGAGAGAGAGAGAAAAAATCAGTAGAGATACAATAGGCTGAATGGCCTCCGACTACGCTGGAAGCTTTCTGTAATGACTGTGTGAATCATGAGTTGGTTGATTAATCGATTGGCTGATCACTTTCTGGGGGTAATAGGCTTGGGGTGGGGTGGGTGGGGGCTGCGGGGAGAGCCCAGAGTGTGCGTTGGGGTAACTGCTGGAGTCTAACCATCTAAACCCACACACAGCTCCGGCCATTGATGTCGCTGTCTGGCCGAGCTTTCCCGCTGCTTGTCCGGCTCGGACCCCCCTCCCCGTGAGTTAGGGCTTTGGCTGTGGGGGTAACGGGAGCTGAGGGGGAGGATTCCCGGCCCCCAGTGACTGGTCGGCCCTTCCAGGTCCTGCCCATGAGCCGGGCCGGGCCGGGCTGCAGTTAGATAAGCAAACCAGGTCAACTTCCTGCTGTGAGCGTGCTCATCGCAAAAGCGAGTCTTAATGCAAGAAAGG